CGAATCACGCTGTTGAAGTACTACTTCCGAATATCGGTTCAAACCAAATCATCGCGCTTGCTGGTTCCGACTATGATACTTCCGATTCAGGCCAGCCAACACATACCGAATTCATCCGTGGTCTGGTGCGGCATTGGCTTACCCCCATCATCGCTTCTCGACCGGATTATGACGGATAACCTGGTCCTTCTCGGTATTTCGTACTCTGCACTAACCCATTACGCGGCACTACACGGCGCAGACCCGATCCGTACCACAGAGGTGGGTACTCTACTTAGTAGGTCAGCAAGCGAATACATGGAACATTCGATAGTAACAGTGTTTTGTCAACACCGGCCCGAATTGACTCGGCACATATCTTCCATTGTCGACTCACTTGGCCCAAGCTTCAAACGGGAATTTACTGACCACTTCTTACCATCAATCTTTCCTGAACCACTACGGCGACTATGAGAGCCATACCATATGTTCATACATTGTATCATACATACTTGCCATTTTTGAAAAAAATAATATTATCCCTAGTAGTGTAATACTAAAACCTCGTGAACCGAATAGGTTCTCTTAATAGAAATAAAGTGGACTAAGTCTGAATAATAATCATTACTATGCAGAATTCAAATGACATACTTGGTCATGTCCAGATCTAGATCCGATAGAGCCCTGTCCTAAATACCAGGTGCAGGACATATGTCCCAAAGAGTCCAGTCCCGGATACCCAGGTGCAGGACTATTAACGTAGCTAAAGGACAAGTGTCATATCCCGTACTGCAGCTTTGAACATAGCCTTTGTTTCAATTTATGTATAAGGCACTATAAGCCTATAAGGCTACGCTTTTTGGTTATTAACGATATTCCTATTTTTTTTGCTCACTGTGGCCAATTCCAGAAAAAGCTGTCATTGTTGTTGGTAAATGAAAACTAGACATTCAAATTTTTCTTCACTTTCGAGTTTCGGTTTCAGTAAAGCGCCCCTCTATCTGTTCATAGATTCTTCGTTTGCGCACTTCAAGTCTTCAACCACCACCTGACCTCACCCTCTTAAGTTTTTCATATATATATATATCTCTTCATCCTTCACATACATACTTTGTCAATTTCTTAATCAATTTGGTATTTTTTTTTATCGCATTGTGAGGTACCAAGCCTGCAATTACCATCTTTGAACGGGATAATATCACCCCGACTTCTGTTACCTGACCTACTCTACACTGGACGTATGTTCTGAAGTCCTCCACACACACACACACACACACACACACACACACACACACACACACACACACACACACACACAC